TGAGGGCCTAGTATCCATTATGTCCTTTCCAGGACAAGGGGACAAGAGGAACTTGAAGCATGAGACAGCTCCAAAGGCATAGATTCCTTTCAAAACCATCATGCAGGACAGGGTTCAAACATCAAGTCTTATGGAAAACTGGGCAAGGTGAGAACACTTTTAGCAATAAATAAAACTTCATGGTGATATAATAATACATGTGCTAAGAAGGGAAGGCCACACATTATAACTAAGAACAACTAACCTGATGGGGAGTTTCATCCTAATGGGGAAGACAGGAGTCTTAGATAATGCTGCCATACCAAAAGCATGGAATACATGAGGAGGCAAAAGACAATCTGTATGCATTGGTAGGGGTGGGGTGGTATAGCTTGGTGAAGCCACAGACCTACAGGACTTAGGAGTCTAACATTCTTCCAGGGAAGAGGTCAGCCAACTATGGCCTATGATCAAATCCATCTGCTGGCTGTACACATCACCAGCCCAGAAGAGCTTTAACATTCTCAAATGGTTCAAACAAATAAAAACTTACTTCATGGCACATAAAAATTACATGAAATTCAAGTGTCAGTGTCCAAAAAGCTTTGGTGGAACACAGCCATGGACATTGGCTTATGTCTCTGGCTGCTTTCTAAATACACTGGTAGGGTTGCACAGGTGCAACAGAGAGATGGGGGGGATGCTGACAAACTGGAAAATATTTACTATGGTGTCCTTTCAGAAAGTTTGCTGATCTCTGTTCTAGGCCAAAAAATCATGTAGTTTTTGAATGGATCATGGCTCCAAACCTGTGCACGCTTGTTGGTTTGCCCCCCGAAAAAGTCAGGATTTAGACATAACCTGCCAGCCTAACAGAGAACACCACCCCACTGCCAAGAACAGCAGACAGGTCTCATAGGTCCTGCAGATGCTGGGCTACCTGCCCATGGTAACAAGAAAGATGTGAAAGGCTTTTATGGGTTGAAAGCAGGGTGATCCTTAAAGGTTTTTATAGGAATATTCTGAAAGAATATACTAGCTTTTCCTTCAAAAAAGACAAGAAAGAAACTATTCTTAAGATGGCTACCACTTTTTTTTTTTTTTAAGATTTTATTTATTTATTTGACAGACAGAGATCACAAGTAGGCAGAGAGGCAGGCAGAGAGAGAGAGGAAGGGAAGCAGGCTCCCTGCTGAGCAGAGAGCCTGATGCAGGGCTTAATCCCAGGACCCTGGGATCATGACCTGAGCGGAAGGCAGAGGCTTTAACCCACTGAGCCACCCAGGCACCCCCACTACCACTTTTAAGCATTTACACCAGGGGCCTAGGATTGAGCCAAGTCTTTTGCTTTTATTATCTCATCTAATGCTCACCTCCTCCAGACTCAGGCTGGCTGGCTCAAGCTGAGCACAACCAGAAAGCTTAGGAAATGGGAGTCAAACCCAGTAAGAGCTTGTGTTCATACCACTACCCCACTCAAAGGCAGTAGGAATGAATGGTCACCACAAATAAATGAAAGGGGAAAGAAAGACCACAGAAACAGTGGAAACAAGTTTGCTCTTATAGCCGTAAACATTACAAGTATTTTATTCATATCTCTCTTCTTACTCGTAATACCTTCTCTTCTTTCAATGCTTAAAGATAGGAAAATACAATTCAGTTCTTCCAGACTCTTTTCCCTGTTGAGAAAAAAAATCGATACAGGTACCCAACTGCGGAGGCATTTCAAAGATGCCAGAATTAGACAAAGTTACAGGTAGCTTCCACTAATGAAGTCCCTGGAGTACCTATGAGGGTCCCCAACACAAGGAGGTGAGTCAACACTTTCAGAGACAATGGGCTGGAAAGTACAAGTACAGTTTTTTAATTTAAATTTTTCATTTAAATTACAAGTGAAGAGCAAAAGTTAAATGGAATCTTATACAAAGACGCAGCTATGATACTGGCGGGCTGCTACTGTCTCTTCCTACCCAGTACCCATGTCTTCACCTTTACCAAACACACCACCATCTTCCTTCAACTTTCCCCTGGATATCTACAAAGTAAGGACCACTTAATCCTAACTCATTTTTGAAAACCTAATCTTTAAAAAATGTTTCAATTTGTTAATATTTCCATTATTATTTGGGAACTAATATGTATCATTACCATGTACCATGTTTATACATGTTCATTCCTGTGTTGATTAGTGGTTATCGCATCTAGCTCCCAAGTCCTTAATATGGGCTAAATGAGGAGTTGAGAGGTTTTCTTACACAGGAAACTTCATTCCTGCTCCTTACGCCTCTACTGCCACAGGTTTTATCCAGATGAGGAATTGGGAGGGTCAGGTAAGTTAAGTAGCTACAGTGAATGAAAGAAGCCAGATTTGAACTTGAGTCTGTTTTGATGAGAAACTTCTTCCCACCATGCTCTGCTGTTTCGCCAAGGCAAAAACACATTTTCTTAGAATGATTACTTCCCAGTCGCATTTCAGATTTGCTGGAGAGCCGTAAGAGAGTGGCACAGGGTGAACCATTTTCTCCAAGGGCTGGTTGTCAAGTTCAAATCTCTGCTTATCAACCATCAATCTATCTGCTCTAAATTTTTTAAATTTAAAAACAGCCACAATGCACCTAGGACTAGCATGTCAAGCCCTTTATGTGTGTATATGGTTTATCAACTAACAGGCAATGCTTTGCTGTGGCAACAAAATGGAAGCGTTTTTGCACCTCTAAGACCACATGTCTAGGCTAAAGACAACTTTAAACAGCAAACACTGGGCACAAAGATATGTATTTCCTTTTTTCTTCCCTTTAAGGATTATTCTAACTCCCATTTTATTCAATAAGAACATAACTCTAACATTTTGGGGCTCTAGACCTCTTTTATGACACAACCACAGACTTTTTTCCTAGAAAGACACATATACACAAAAAAGTTTGGTCACAACTACAGAGTTCAGGATTCTCTCGAAGCCCATTCATGGACCCCCTAGAGGTCCAAAGGCACCAGAACAATATTTGCTCTAAAAACATACTGCAAGAAATGTCTACATCATTTCATAGGACCAGGGTAAAGACATTAGAGCCAGCTCTCTCATCATCCTTTATCATTTCAAAAGGCTAATATTAAATAAACACTCAAATTTCTGTAACTAGACTCCCATAGTCTCCAAGAAACCAACAATCTAATGACAAATAAAATCACCCAATCTAAGATTATGTAAGTTCAAAGTCCAAATCCATTTTGTTACAGCTCAGAATCTGCTACTTCTTTCTGCCTAAAGATTTTCCTATAAATGAAAGAAACATTAGTATGGCATAAGGCTTGAGTCCTTTCCTAGTTTAACATTCACAAACATATTAAGATACAATTATATGAAAAAAGACTACTAAAATTTACTAAAACATGTCATTTTACTATACATGATATGAAGAAAAGTCAGTTAAGAGAATTCTTAAATGTTCAACACACAGATCTTTGTCAATGCAGTTGCAAGTTAAATTAAGTAGTTGGCAAAGCAGATTTTTAAAAATTTCACAAAGGCTCAAATTTGGATGTGTTTCGAACCACTTGGATCAAGAACTTTCAGAAATGTTTATTTTTTTAGGTATATCTCAAACTTTAAACTTTCAGATCTCTCCTGTTCTTACTGCTTTACAAAATTTCTTGCGTTGTCCACCATATTTTTAAGTTACAAAATGAACATATAAAAGTTTTTGTCCAGAACTCCATCTATGAATATGAGAGAGAATGTTTCATGAAAATTTAACAGTTACAAGGGGTAGTGATACTCTGCTATAAACAACACTAAAGATTATTTTAAGTCACTAGATACTGTTTCAAAAAATCATTATATGATAAGGTGAAGTAACAAGAAGTTTACACAGAACATCATTTCACCCCTTGACGATTATCTTTTAAACAACCATCCCCACCAAAATGCAGTTGGGATATATAGATAATCAGTGGACACTTCCAATTTACAGTGTGTAGGACCTAAGATTTAAAGTAAGTCTCCCTTTGGTTAGAGTATTTTCTCTCCTAAAACCAAGAAAATGAACCGGGCCTGATGCCCATACACACACAGAGTTTTAAGCCAGTATTATTTTAGGCCAGAGCGGGCTTCACAACCTTGGGAGGTCAAATTATAAATCAGAATCTTCACTCAAAGTAATTTTTTGGGTTTTTTTTTGCCTTTGTGCCAAAAATCAACGGTGCTAATTCTTTAAGAACATTACTGGAGTTTCGACTTCATACATGTGAAAAAAATTTTACATATAATATACCGATATCTAGTTAGAAGTTAAACACATTTCACTGCCATCCATTCGCATTTACAACTCTTTCCTCTTTGAAAGACCTAAGAGAAAACTGAGAGAATGAACCCAGGTTTCGCAAGGAACCAGAAAGAACCAAATCCAACCCACGTAACTGCTTCAGCCCGGATGTGAAGAGTCAGGGTACTGGGGGGGGGGGGGG